CGACGAACATACAGCAACCAGACTGCGGGTCATCAACATCGATGACCCGATGCACAAAAGCAACTTCCCAGTCAAGCTTTTTTCTAAAAGAAAGGAGTGCAACTTGGCAGTGTCCACGAAGTAGCAAAGATTCAACACACAAGCAAACACAACCTTCCTGTCAATCGGGCTTTACATGAACACCTTTTCAAACGAATAAGAACATGACACCGATTCGCTGTTAGCATCGTGAGTTCGAAATTTGGATCTCAAAGTTGGTCTTCGGTGTGAGGATCAATTGTCATACACTTTGAAATACTGATGCGGCCTAGATTGAAAGACATGATCCTCTCTTCTACTTTCACACCAAATTCTACTAACATTCTACAGCACATGTCGCGAAGAGCGATTGTATGCAATACTGAGGAGTAACTAGCTTCGTGTACTAACATCGCAAGGATTTGCACTTAGCAGGTTCTGGAAATGCAAGTGGGCCGCATGTGATAACTAAAATATGCCGAAAGCATGGTTCGACGACGAAGTGAATGTCGATCAAGGTCTGCACACAACTGCATACAGCATTAGGTCTGTGGAGCATGAGAATTCACAAGCACTAGATTCTCATGCTCATGCGATGATCATCTTCTAAATCACACTTCTTTGCATAGATTTCAGTGCTTTGAGTGATTCAACGCCATCAAAAACCCTAGTTTTACTTTTCACAACTGAAGTTACTACGTTCCGAAACAGAGACCAATGTGTAAAGGGCTAGAAACTACAGCTGCAGGTTCAGAGTTAGGAACTCAGGGCTTTAGTCTCTAGGGTTAGGGTTTATGTTTAGCCTCAACTGCGCACTTGTGCCCACGATGAGAAATTGCAAATGATATTTGACATAATGTTTTTTTCTAATGGCTGTAAATTTTCATCAATTATAATAAACCTTAACAAATGATGAAGATTATGTGCCTTGGAGAACACAAACCTATTCAAAAGCCCTACTTGGAAATCATGGTGCTTTGTAGCATGATAGTCAAAATGTTGGTACTAGAAACTGAATAGAATCAGCAATTAACATGTTCCATGTGTTTATGGGGATGTGTTGTACATGACTAAATCCCAATATTAGTGAATGCTCTTTTTTGTGGATCAATAATAGTATTAATAATAAAAACAACAATATGGTACCCTTTATGTTTACATATATATATATAGAGAGAGAGAGAGAGAGAGAGAGAGAGAGATGTAATTCTTAAGATGCTTCATACAATAGATGTCAAATATTGCACAAGAGATGGTGTGCATGGTAATAAGAGTGGCAATCTTGATGTTGATTTACACAACAATAAAAGTTTAACTTGTCCAACTTAAAATTACAATTTCAATTAATTGAGTTAAGCTCAATTAATGTAATGAATTTAAAACAAATTCATATACCAAACTAATAATTGAAAAGTGACAAGTATTCTGCATGAAATAATTCAATGTTCTCTGCAATTAAAGATCATGTAATTAGAAGAAAATCATTAATATATTTTTATTTTCAGTTGATTTGTTAAATTTGAGAACATGCAATGAAAATGTAAAACAATATTCACAATTTTACAAAATTCTATTACAGAGAATCAAATAAACAAGACACCAATAAATTCCTGTTCATTTTGAAACTCGTTCTTTAGGAACCACATGCAAGCAAATATAAATATTTTTGAATATTTTTATGAATATTTTTTCCATGTACAAACATTTCAATCACTTTGATTTATTTTGTCTACATTCCTAAGAAAAAGAATGCTGCCTAAACATATGAATCAATAAATGCGGCTGAATGCGATGCGAATGAATGAAATTTCCACATTCATCCATTTTCTAATCGACAGAGTCTCGAAGAACGACACAAAGAAACCACAAAACTATTCACGCCCCAATAAAAGATCACTTTATCGTGTCGCGGTGTGAACAGAGAATTTCCCCCACGGCAAGGGTCACATCAGTCGGAACACGCCACGTCAGATTCACGCGGCGTTCCCGCTAAAAACAGAGTAATGTTCACACCTTGCTTTCCGACTGACATTTATGGCACCTTTCACACCGCCGAGAACAGCTCTAGGTCCTCATTGGCTTGGCTTTGTATTCTATTAGCAGTAAATGGTCCTTTTGTTGGTGGTCAAAGCTTACAACACACAGGACCTGTTAGTATGATTTCCTTGCCCGTAGATTGATGAGGATGGATGTCAATGTATTGCCCACACTGTTTGTCACGCATTGAGTATAGGTGCCCTCATTTCACATGTGATTTTTGGAGTGTCTATATATAGTAACTCTTTCCATTGAAAAAAGGTGCCCTCATTTCACATGTGAGTTTAGGATTTTCTATAAATAATAACTCCTTCAATAGTGAGTTGTGCATGTTTGTATTTTAATATACTTTATTTTTTTTATAAACATACATACATGTGTACATGTATGGAAAAGCCTTTGTTGAAATTTGATCTGGATTGTATACAAACAATAACCCTTGGAGTGGTAGTTTTCACTATATATATATATATATATATATATATGTACATATACACACACATATATAATGTAGTGGAAACTTGTGCCATTTGGGCATTGCAATGTTTTGCACATTGAGCTACTTATTCAATTATTCATATTTTCTTGTCCACTAGTTTCTTTGTTTCATGCATTCTTTGCATTCCCTTCTTCAGAACAAATCAAAAGACTTCTTTGTCTCTGTGTGTTTTACCCAAACTCTTATATATATATATATATATATATATATATATTCAAAATTTGTTGTTGAAATTTGATCCAACTATGTTTTAAATGTAAACAACTTATGATATATGCAAAGTTTATGTATGTAATATACTTTGTTGTAAATCAATGAAATATGGGTTGGACAATGAGACTTGATTATGAAGTACATAAACAAACATTCTAAATAGAATTTATTAGATGTGACATAACTTTGTAGAAAATGATGCACTATTAGTTTTCGAGTTTAGGGTGTAAATGCTCTATTGCTCTATTATGTTTTCTTATTGCTATAATATTATATGAAGTACATATGTTAGAGTTTTGGGTATGATAGATTAAATTTAACATCTTCATATTCAATAAAGCAGCATGTTTAAATTCTTCAAGTCCAAGCATGTTAAACCCATAAATGTATAAGACTAATAACATTATAGGTTTAGCATGTTCTTTGAGTATTCAGCCTAAAGGGAATCTTATTTAAATTTATTTGAGAGAATGTTTTACACCTTTTTTAAATTATTGGTATCTTCTGTTTTGATTGAGATTACAAGGATATCACAGAATCATTTTTTTGTTTCATATATGTATATATACATACATATATATATATTCAAGTGATAGGTCAAAAAATGGTTTTGTATGTTTAACATTTCAACAGCTGTAGGTATGTATATGTGTATATGTGTACATAGATAAATGTGTGCTATTGAGCAAGGACTCTTACTCTTAAATTATTTTCATAAGACATCTATCTTAAAGTGAGGAAACATGTGATTGATCAATTTGAACAGGATTGACATCCAGTACAAAAATCTTTATTTATAAATTTATATATATAGTTTTGACAGAATATTGATATTTTCAAAGTTTTAACGTAGAAATTATTATAGAAAGGAATGTAGAAAGGTACATATAGAGCTTTTTTTCAAGAAAAATTTGCAACAATCAAATAAACATTTTTGTTTACCAATTTCCAACACAAATATATTAAATACTTTACCAAACTCAAAATCTCTTAACACATTAATATTACATGATGTAAATATAGTTTATTCATTTATTTATTATAATAAAGGATAATGAGCATTAAAAATAAACACTTTACATGATTGTGTGGCATAATATTGCTATCTTTCTATTTATTCATTTCACCGTTTTATTTTATTGCTAGAACTAGTTAAGACTGATAGTTTAATTATCCATTTGTAATTAAAATCATGAAATATAATTTAAATTCTATATTTTTTTTAGTACTTACAGATACATCCATGTATATGATTGTATGTAAAAAAGAAAGAGGAATCTAAAATCTTATTTATCAGATATAAATTTTAAAAATATTATTTGTATATCTAGTTCTTACAAATTTTTTTGATGAGATTTTTTTAAACACCATACATTTTTAAGACTTCTAAAATACACAAAGAATGTCATATTCAACAAATGTGTAATGCTTAGGACTTACTCTTCTGCAATCAAATAGTTTATACCTCCTTACAATATAATAGTACCTTTGGTTGTGGTAGATGCAGTTGCTAAACATAAATTGTCTATAAAAAAGTAAACATGTTAAACTTTGAATTTTAGTTATATTTATATAAATTTTTGATTAATTTAAAAAAAAGAAAAAAATAGTTGAGTGAATTTCTTTAATGATGTATTCTGGAGCTAATTTCTACAATGACCATTTCATTTAACAAAGTATTTGCAACATATCCGTTTTTATTTTTATTTTTATTTTTTCTTCTCTTCTCTCTCTTTTAATTTTTTAATTCTTTTACACGATTTAACCAACATGAAAAATACCTTTTTATCTCTCCCATTGTATTCTTTATGTAATACCCTTTGACATCATTGTTGTTATCATCACACACACACACACACATATATATAAATATATATATATATATATATATGTATGTATGTATGTATACCGAACAGCTTATTATTATCCACATTCCTTTAAAGGAAAGTCCATTCAAAAATATAAAAATATAAATCGGCAACCACATTATGCAGACATGCATCATATTCCGTAGGCGTGCGTTGGTGCACTTTTTGGTGATCTTACCCACATCACCCCTGTTACCACGTGCTCTATGACCGCCCGTCCGGTCCCGAACCGAGGCACCAAATCAACTTGCACGGGCTGCAGCCGAGCATGGCCAACCCTCGACTGTGACGCTGCCGTGGCCGCCGCCGCCGCCGAAACAGACGCCACTTGCACGGTGGCTACGGTGCGGCAGAGCTCATAGCGATCTTGCGTTGCGTGAATGTGCTGCTGCGGCACGCACCCCAAGCTGCGAAATCCCAATTGCTGCGGTATTGGAGCAAGCGTGCGTGGGTGAAGCGCGGGTTGGCTGGAAGCGAAGACAGCTGATGTCATGGCGGACTACGTCGTGATCCAGGAACAACGTCGCCACCAGCTATCCTCAGCCCACACCGTTGACTCTGAACCGGCAGGAGCCGCAAAAACTCTGGAGTTATCAAAGCGTGCGCGGTGCAAAACGCAACTGCCATTTGGCCACGGAACTCACCTCTCTCACTCGAATTCACCAGCGTCCCGCAGTTGTTTCTTGCTGGGTTCGCTCCAGTGAGTTTTAGAGTCTCCCCAGAATCTCCCTTATCGGCTTCCGTCACCGATTTTAGGGCTGGGTGGGTGGGTGATGTTGTGGTGTTTGGATGGATCCTGCTTTGTCGTAGCTGTCCGACCGTGTTTGTCTACCGCATGGTGCAGGTGGACGACCTGGTGACCGCAAAGTGCGCCAGTGCTTGCCACTATTACATGAGCTGTCGGCGGAGACGAGGAGGAGTGGAGCATCCTCTGTGGGTTATGTCCTTGGAGTCGTGGGATGTCCGTGATTTGCTGACTAGGTTTGGTGGATTGAACCGTGGTGGCGATTTGGTGGTAACGTGCGTCTCGGCAGGCCTAACTGATCGAGCAATTTTGAATTCTACAGCTGTGGGTTTTTGGCGGAGTTGTGGATGTGGGTGTCAGACTGGGGGTGAGGATGCGTGACTATATTTGTGAAGGAGCTTTCCGTTCCATTTGTGATTCGAGAGGCGGGTGCGGTGTGGCGTGCTTGGCAGGCGTGGTTGATTGACGTAACTGAATTAGTGGGCAGGAGCGCTTCCGTGGAACCTTAATTCGTTTTCGTGGCCGAAATTTCAAGTCGGGATGGTATTCCTAAGGTCATGCGTACTTGCAGTGAACACAAGGTATGTCAATTGGGTTCGGGTTGATGATTGATTTACCATTCCTCGTGTGCGTGATGTAAAGTCGCGCTACGAGCAATTTTATTCACCCCTAGGCTTGCTGGCCCTAGAGTCTACAGCTTGGTGTAGCAAATCCAACGACAATCCCGTTCTCCCCTAATGTGCGCAATGATTTCCCTCCCGATGATGCACCTTGCTATGAGTTTCTTGATTAGCGAATTTGTGAAAGTGTTTTGTGAAGTCTTGTTGAGATTCTCAGTCAGGCCGAGCACGCCCTGTTATGGCATCGACGTTCTGAACTGAAAACACTCTTCATGCATTTCAATTAGGAAAGATGACTTGGATCTGAATCTTCTCTTGTGTTCCTAACCACCACTAGTGAAAGTTCCTCATCGTAATTAAATTTTAACAACCTGATCCACAGTGATGTTAGTTTTTGAACGTACAGTGTTTTCGAATAATTCTTTTTGTAGATACATCACTAGAAGTGGGGTTGATTTTTGACTGTTTTCGTAATTTAGATGCAGGTCAGTGTTACAGATAATACACCCAAGCTGCATGAATTTCCTGAATCAATAATTGATGAGATATTTAACAAATTGGAGAACGCGAAGTACATAGCGACCGCTAGATGTGTTTGCAAATGCTTCAACGAAGCCAGTAAACGGATTCGGTCCGTTCGATTCATCTGTTTAGATAAGTATCATGAGAGTATAAGATATGGACTTAGGCTTTCGTCTCCGAAAATTAGTCAATCCAGTCCATCTGCAAGAGCTCAGGCCTCCCGAGGAAAGCAAGTTGTGACACAGGCCATCAACAGCGACGTAGAGGGCTTGGATTCTGGCGGTAAACACGAACCCAGTACATCAACAACCGGAGGTACTCAAATACAACACCTTGAGAGGAAGCCCTCTGTCGATCGCATCGAAGGGGACTCCCATTCCATTTCCAAAGGAGAATCTAGTACAGCAGTTGCTGAAACCACACAGTCTTTTAGCAGTGACGAAGAGGGCTCATCATCTGATGATGAAAGGCCTGTCTTTATTTTTAGGAATGTAGTCGAAAGGTTTCTGGAAAAACAGAAGCTGGTGCAACTAAGGCTAGAGATTGAAGGAAAGCTGCAGTCGAAATATGTTTCTGAGGCGGAGAGGAGAAGAACAGACTTTTGGCTGAGTGACCCCATGCATTTAACAAGATGGGTGCCTAATGTCAAAGACACTTTACAGCACTTGTGTATTGTGGATTATGGACAGCAGGCCATCATGCGCAGATCAAGCATCCTTGAAATACTGTCTAAGAACTGTGAGTTTGAACATCGGGGCTTCAAGTGCTGAAGTTTGACTTTATGTCTCAATAGCTCAGCAGTATTACTTCTACTTGTTTGTCGCTTGTGCCTGATGCCTTGAATAAGGATACATTTTCTCATAAATAACGCTTGTCGAATCAACTGTTTTTTAATTTATTTTCCTGTAGTATTGGTGTGGTGAACATTTGTTATTACAAAGTCAGAAAGTTCATGTTGATCAGCACGATGAATGTTTTACCAAACATCTTAAGTATATTCTCTTGCAAGTTTTCTAACGTCGTCTACTGCCTTTTTCGCTGGCAGGCAAAAAGTTGAAGACCTTGGATTTGCGGAATATGTTCATCGATTCGAGTGGTCTTGAAGATATGCCTGCGTTGACAAGCATCACATTGCGATGTGTGAAGGTTACTGGCGATACTTTACAACTCATCAATGCCCGTATGAGGAATCTAGTCATCTTGGCTCTATCAGGAGTATTTGGAGTGGTTGAAGGCACTCTAGACATACCTTCTCTGAAGGTTTTGTGCCTGGGTCTTTCAACTGTGGCCAAGGACATAAGCATGAATCTGCCGAGTCTTTCAAAGTTGCAGCTAAAGATGCTGTGTCCAGAGAAGTTAACCATCAGTGCGACTACGTTACAATTTCTGGCATTCAACCTTGAGGTTGGAGAAAATGCAGTGATTGAATTTGACGATCTTCGCGATTTGCAGGAACTGTTGTATGGAGCCTCTAGTTTTGATACACTTACGAAGCTTGTCGCAATGAATCCCAGCCTCAACAAATTATTCTTAGATATACCATGCATGACACTAGGCGGAGACGGAAAGTGGTTGGGTGTTTTACCGGGCGTTCCATTATTCCTTCCGAACTTCAAACAGCTTCTTTTGTGCGAAAGACTTGGGGTTCTGAATATTGGGCCTGGGCTCTGGCATTCAATGGAAGTAAACCTGGAGACGATGTTAGCAGTGAAGAATTGGCCTTCTTTCAAACGCCTCATTCTTCATATGATTCCTGGAAATTTGGATGCTTGCACAGCCATTCTACGTACACTGCTGAAGCCAACCTTGACTTCACTGGAATTGTACATTCACACTAGTAGTCCAGTCAGCTATGATGCAATTGTATCACAAGTGAGCGGCATCACATCAAACTTTGACCGAAGCTTTTCCTTCAAACCACTGGTATGGACGAAGTGCCTGAATTTCTCCTGTTTCAGCCTGTAGCACTGATGGGTGTATCAATTTTAACTGCAAAGGTCCTATTGTTCCGCTCAATTCAATGCAGTTTTTTTACTTTCATCTTCTACTGCCATGTTCTCTTCTCTATGGCTAGGATATGACACGAATTGAATCATGCTCTCAGGTGTGTTTATCAAGAAATGAGAGTATAGTCAATGAACAATTTTGTAAAAGTGCACCATTAGGCCAAAATTGCCCACATGTGGTGTGTCTTGCTAGATTCTACGTGGACCTGCACTGGCATCATGCAGTAATGGCGGTTAGTTTTTACCAGGCTTCAATCATATTTAACTGTACTGGTGCAATGCATATGTTGTTGAATGGTTCGCCTTGAAGTGAGGTGCGACCTTGTTAAGTTTCAATTGTTTTCGAAAGAAATTATCAATGTTCATACATCACAAAACCTCCCCTAATTTTTTCTGACACTAGAAATGTTTTTATTCTCATTGAAGTTTATTCACAAAAATATTATCTAAATTTTAGTGTATGTAACAAGAGGACTTTTTTTTTTTTTCTTTACTTTTTCTTTTCTTTTCTTGGTAATATTTTTCTGTTATTTGGAGTTTATTTGCAAAATAATATACAAAATTTCAAATAACCATAAAACTTTAATTAAATAAAAACAATGTTACAACACATTGTGAAATGCATTTAATTATTTATATATATATATATATATTAGACGTATTGACTTACATAATGCACATGTTGATCAATTACTATTGTAGAAAGTCAATGCATGACAACTAAATATAAATATTTTACTTATTATATATATATATATATATATATATATATATATTGTTGATGTAAAATAGTGTAATTTAGAAAATCATTATCTTAGTTATAATTTAGAATATTAAATTAATAAATCTTAAACAAAGGTAATATATTATTTTAAAATAAAATAATAAAAAAATATGAAATATAGACATTGTCAAAAGCACGAATCTACACAAATTTGTAATAAATGAATACATTTATGAAAACTAAAATAAAAAAGCATATTTAATTTATTTTTTTAACTTAATAAATAAATATAATCATTATTACTAAACATACAAAAATCAAAGAGCCTTGAATCAAGTTTAACAAATCTTTGTATTACTTACCTAAATAGAAAAAATAAGAATAAATATAAATATATTAAATAAATAAAAAGAAAGAAATAAAAATAATAAATAAATAAATAAATAGCAAATATATATATATATATATATATTTTTTTTTCTAAGAGATATTAAGATGGTTTCTTAGTTGCAAATCAAATCTTTTGGTTCTTCTAGATACACAATGTGGCTATTGAAATTAGATGTAGAAGATGTGCAAATTAATATTATATGATTCAAACTTCTTGCAATAGTATAAAATAAAATAAAAATAGAAATCAACCTTGATAAGAAAAATTGCATTTATATTGTGAGGAACCAAAACATATTGTTCAATATTATTTCAAGTAGAAGCAAAACCACTGAATAAGGAATATAATTTTAAAAGAAAATGTGTTGAAAAATGAGTGTCCAACTATATTAGAAACTATGTGGTTGGATTTTTGTACAACATTATCTTGTGAAAGCTTTGTATTATCTTATATATTGTCCTCTTGTTTTTTGGTATAAGTTTGTTTAAAACCTAGAAATCCTATTACCTTTATTTATGTTTTATTAGATTCAAATATCTTTGCTTGTTTTTTTAAAAAAAATCAATTTGCTAAATATTTTATAATATCTTTGATGTAAAAAATTAAACATTTGTATATAAAAGTCATAGATAGATAATCTTTACTACCAAAGGTATCTTCCTTAAAAGCCTAATTGTGGAAGTAATTGTGTAATATCATAAAAGTTTGGAATTATTTTTAATCTTATAAAATCTCCAATCAATCATATTATTAAAGTTTATTGAAGTTATCCTAAAATAGATAGGATATATTATAGTATTAATTTTTTTCTTTCTTTATTTAAAAAAGCATTAATTTTTTTTTTTACCTTCACTTAAAAAAATCAATCTTCTATTTATTGGAACAAGGATATTTATACAAGCTATAAGAAAAAGGTGATTTATTTGACATTTACACAATACTAAGTCATTATTTAAGTAGAAGTTTTAGTAGAATCTTGGAGTAATATGAGGAATATAAGGATCTATCTGAGAAAAAATATTCCAATATATTGCAAAAATATCAACTTTAGAATTATATAATTAACCTTTAAGAAGGGATTCAACTACCATTTAGACCAATTTACAAATTATAACTAAATAAATTGGTTATTTCCAGCAAATGCATTGACTGAAATCTTATATGTATATATATATATATATATATTTATTTAACATTCAAAATTTCTTATAGATCTCTTAATGTTTATTATGAAAAAAATTAATAGATTTTAATAAATATCTAGATTATTGCAATCTCAATTTATTGACCATTGTAATTAATTATTATTTGCTTCTACTATCATTACTTCTTAACTAAGTAAGTTTATCTAAGATCTATATTAGAATAGATATATAAGAAAGATACATTTTAATACATGTTTTAAAAAAATATAAATAGAATATTATATTTTAAATTAAATACAACTATTATAAATATAATATCATATTTTTTTAGACTTACAAATTCTCCAATTATTATACTAAAGATGTAAAAGTAATATTTTAAGGTTTAAAAATATTTTTTATCTAAATTTCTATTTTATGTCATAAAAAGTTTTTAATTTTTTAAATAAAAATAAATATACAAGATTTTGCATTACATGTTTTCATGTTGTAAATAAATTTAATAATATTCTTTATTCTATTTTTAAGTATATATTTTTTTTCTCAATATCTAATTTTATTATAGCATTTACAATAGATAAATTTCTTGCCATTGTAGATATAATTTGAAATGGCATCATCATCTACAATCATGATTAATTTAATCATAATTCATACTAATCACAATAAATCTTGAATATTTTATATCAGCATAAAGTCCTAAATTGTCACCATGCTTGTTTGAGCATGTCTTTCATATAATTTATATTTAAAATTACATTATTTTGATAAGTAATAAATTTTATTACATGTATTATTTAAATATTATTATCATGTGCAAATATAGAGAGATGTGGCATATAATGAAGAAAAAAAATATTATTAAATAAAAGAAATTGTATTTTTAAATCATAAAGTCAATAGTTCCAAGTGGTGTTATTTTTTATGATGATGATTTTTCAAGTAAATGAATAAATTTTCTTGATATATGTATTTAAATCAACTTTTAGTATAATTTAATTAAATTCCATATTAACGACATTATTTCTATCAAAAATATTTAAATATTCTAAAAGATCTAGCACAATGATATGTAATTTAAGGATGAACTAACTTAGATATAACTAAATTTTGGAGCTTAGTTCAATAGATTTTTGATGGCTTTAAATATAAAAAATTATAAATAGAAATAAATAAATAAATAAATAAATAAATATATATATATATATATATATATATATATATATTTCTTTTGTAACATTTGTTCTAAGGCTAAGTCTCTATGTCACAAATCTTATAGGATTCTCCAACATCTAAATCTTCTAAAACAATTATGATAATCTATTTTAATTGATCTTATTTTAGATCTTTAAAATTTTATTTTATACAATTCTATGTTTGTGATGGTAGATTATATAAGAAAAAAAATATGTTTTAAATTGACTTTAGATCTTAATCTTTAAATTGATAGACATATAAAATATATAAAAGAATTATTATAACAATATTTATAATATCTATTAATTATAATCAAGAAAATTAGATTTCTTTAATAATATAATAATCTCTTCTTCTTATCAATTATTATATTTTATTTTCAATAAATATTTTCTAAAATTCAGTAATTTTAACTTTTTTGAAGCAGAAAATTCTAAGAAAAATAGTTTGGCAAGTAAATAATCAAATTATATAATAATAATCATAAACTCTAAAATGAGAAGAATAAGTTTTTTTAGAAGCACGTTATTACCAACATCTCCTATTAGAATATGAAACAATTAAGAATTAACATCAAAATAACTCCTAGATTCAAGAAAATATATAAAAAAATCTAAAACATCTTGTATACTTGCATGGATATAATATTAGTGAATGCACATGTAAGCTATTTTAAAATTTTATAATTTATCCGAATTTATTTTATTTCTTTTATCAAAAATATCTATAAAAACTAAAGAATAAATATTGATAAATAGATGGTATAAAACTAGGTAAATTAAATTTAATCAACTTTTCTTAAAGATTTCTTTATAAAATTAAGAATTAACATCTAATACACTTTTTTAAAGATTTATTATTTTTAAAATTTCTAAATACAATACTTAAGTAGTTTTACCCTTGATAATATTAGATATGAAATAATGTTTCTTTAGAATAACTTATTATTCTTTAAGTACATGGAAAAATATTTTTCAAATAGTACCATGACCTTAGAAGAAACTCTTAATGCTTAGACATACTCTTGGAAGTACATACTATACATGATAACATTTAAAATGTATCATCTTAAGGTAATTATGAAGACTTCAACAAAAACTGAATACTTAGATGCTCTTCTTATTTTACTGGTCATCTAAGTATTCAGTTTATAGATTATTATTAATGACTTATAGAAGTTTATAAGTCATTGATAATGACTTATAAATGGCCAGTTTATAGATAATTTTATAGATTATTTTTAATGACTTAAAGAACTTATCAATCACCTTTACATAGAATACACACTAAAAAGAAAAAAAGAATAAAAAGAAAAAATTACAAACTTAATTTGATAAATCTTTGATTTTATGAAATCATCAAATAATTTAAGTATTTTTTGTGGAAGTCATCTTTTAAAAGAAGTGTCATGTTAAAGATGCCTTTATTATTTAGATAAATAGAAACATATTAGATAAGTAAAATCTTCTTTATAAAACATTGAAGAGGCTTTTTAGATACATATTAAATATTAGATATTAAGTTTTTATTTTTATTTTAATTTAAAAATAGTTGCTATAAAGATAATTCACAACTTAGATGTGAATTATAGATACTTAGACTATAAGTATGATGGTCCTTAGGATGCTTTGATAAGACCTCTTTAATATAAAAAGATAGAAGATTAAGACCATCATTAGTCTAGTTAATGCCTTTCTTGTGATGTATATTTGTTTCAAGTGTCATTAATTACTTTCTATTTGCTAGTATTTATTTTAGATTTTTGCTATTTGATAGCTATATCTCTTCTTTATTTATTTTCTTGGTTATTAGTAATAACTAATACTTTTTTTCTTGTAAATTTGTGTTTGAATTTATATTATTGACATCAAAATTGATATATATTAAAAATATTAATATTACAAGAATATTTATAATCTTGCTTCCATACATAATAGCAAATAAAAAGTATTATAAAATATTTATATTAACTAAAAGATTTTAAAAATAAATATTACAAATATATTATTATTTTTTCTATGTTATTTTTACAAAAAATTGCTACATAGCACATCTTATGATAGATATAAAACAAATTATAAAAAAATTATTTAGAGTTTTTTTAGATTTTTTTAAAATTAATTTTTTTGTATATATATATATATATATATATATATGTATATATATCAATAATATAATATTTTCATATCAATTTCTTTTTTATTACAACATTATAATCCAAATATTAAAAAAATATATTATTATATTAAATATATACTAAAATGTATATATAAAAGAATATATTTTATTACTAAATATATAATCCATCACATATTTTAGTTTAGTAAAGTATTAGTAATTATTTACTTATTATTATAAAAATAAATGAATATCTCAACATAAAATCCTATCATCAATAGAACTTAAGCAATGTTGTTGGATCAATAGCAACTTTTATATGAACTTAGATATCCATTAAACATCCACTTTGCAATATGGCCATTTGTTTGGATGTTTGCAAATGCACGCAAGCAAATCATAAAGATTTGATGTCAATGTCATAAAAGATCACACAAACAAACAAACAAAAAAATAAAAAAAATCAACAAACACATTGACATTCTACTATCTTGTATACTTTGTTGAATGCTATTGCAACTCTTTTGACAAGAATAACTATCTGATTAAACTAGAGAATTGGGTATTCTTATACATATTTATCTAGAGTGTTTGTTGAATTAGTCACTTGCATGAGCTGCTTACTTGCACCATCGTTTGTCAATACAACAAAAGATATTTCACATCAATTCAAGTTTTCACATGTCATGTTATGTGACATTTCGGTCAGTTAAGACTAACGTGATTATGATGAACTTTCAGGAGGTGCTGAGAGTAGGGCTTGAATTTGCAAGAAACTTCTCCAGTTTCACTTCTCTGTGTCTCCTTGGTTTCCTACTTTTATGTCTGTTCAGTGCATGTCCTCACTGCTATGAAAGTTTGCCATGTGATCCTCTGCCCCATGTTAGTTCTCATTGATAGTAAACTCGTTTTCTGTTGAGTTTAAGTATTATGACCCTGTTTTAACTTCTGCGGTTTCTCAAGATATTTATACTAAACTGTTGTTGTGTTTGCAAGAGCATTTGCAACTGTTGGTTAGATTATAGAATACCAATAACTATTTCCTGACCTGGTACTTTGATTGTCCCAGCATCCGTTTGCAGAATTTGGAGTTTCTCTTGGCAAAGATGAGAACCCACCTTCAAATGGCAGTCAGCTGGATGTTGTGAATGCCGTCAGTACTCGGCTCTGAATCTCTGGAAGGGAGGTTACGTTTTTATAGTATCTGCAGTCGTTATTGCTTGGTTTAAATAAGTGATGCAAGTTAAATTTATTTAAGCAGCAAGTGTCGAACACTAGATTGTTTGTTTTGCATGAACATTTCATTGCATTTCAAATTTTTTGCATTTTGATCTGTGTTCCGAAGTAGAAGCGACAAATGGTCTTCTCTTCACCCTTGAGCTGTCGTTCACAATCTTTGAACCACCCGACTGTTATTACCTATTCGCTAGCTGTTTTGCAAAATGTGAGCCACTCTGGTACAGTTTGGGATTTTCCAAAGGCCTCTAATCCTGTGTGCAGTATTTCAGGTCAGTGCTACCTCGACGTTCGACATACTCAACAAAGAACATCGAATGGTAGTGTTAGCAATATTGGCTCACAGTACATCAGGAGTAAACTCACGAACATAAATGGCTATCAACCATGGTACTCGTGCGGCACGTGGACTTTCTTTCCCACATTTGAAGCTGAAGATATGCACACCTAATTTTGAAACATGTATTGGAACACGAAATAGCCTGGATCGCTTACCTCATTCAGTTTCAACAGATGATCTGGTGAGAAGGTTGATGTTGAAGACATGAGCTTCTAGTTATAGCCCTACATATTGTCTTTCGTGATATGTATTTCTCTTTGACGTCCGTTCAAACATCAGATTGGTAAAAATGCTTACTGTATTTGACCTCTCGGGGTTGACTTGTCTTTTTTTGGCTTCACTCGCAAACTCTTTAGCATTCTCAGTCTTCGTCTGTCTTACTGAAATCATTCACTACTCTATGGAAATGAGTCTTGAGGGGAACTTTGTCATTTAGCCGAAACCTGTGGATTGTCGTCGGGGTTGGATGTTGAAGTATTCTTAGTCAGTATTTGTTAACTGTTCCCTTGCCGCGACATAGGAAATGACCTGTGGTTGTCGACACGGAAACGGTGCTGGGAGTTGTGTGTTATGAATTGGAACTATGGAGTTTTTGCATACAGAAAGTGAATTTTCTTGACCTGTGGACTATTATCCGACGACTTATCTTCACCGTTTTGGAATTTTGCCCAACATGATTTCCACGTATCGAGTGAGTTCGCAGGCGAACATGGGGGGTATCGCGCGATGCATGAGCTTGAATTCTGAATGTAGACTTTTAGCATCGGTAAGTTTGAAGTTTCGCGAACACAGTCAACAAATTCTCGTACTCTGAATGAAGGAGTTGAGCTATTCTCTTTGCAAGCAGTGCCGCACATTGTGGTGCCGGGGCCTACTTTGTGTGGAAACGACAATGCCACGTAAGGATGTCGAACCCAAACTCCGGTTCCCTCTCAGTGAACAGTTTGTTGAAAATTCTCAATTTTCCCTGACGCCTTACACCCCAACACTTGTACCTCTCTTGTTGGGAATCCTCTTTGGTGTTCCGCAATGAACTAGCAGTGAAAGATCGTCCAGGGATCCGAGCAGCCGCACATGCGCATGTCGTGTAGTCCCGGAGCGTCGAGGAATCTCGCCTCTTCTCAGACTCTGCATCGATCAAAGGTCAAGCGCAAAACAATTTTACTCTGACATGCACACTTCTGCGCAGTCCGTATAACATTTACCGCCCAGCACTCGGTGATCAGATGGAATTGGTGAAGCGCAGAACAGTGTCTTTAAAACCCAAGAAAACTCAAGCATGCCGTTCACGACGAGTCCAATTTTCCAGTGAGGCTACTTCGGAGAAGTCGATGAATTCAACTCAGCAGTGCGTCCATGATCTCTACACGGGCTATTGTCTCTCTGGATCAAACTAATCTATTCTGCGACATAATTTTAAACCATGACTGTCATCTGACCGTCAGCCGCCGTGAAGAATAGTTTCCTTCGATAGCTCTCACCACGTGTCTCCACCTCGCGAAATTAATTAGTGCACGCCACCGGTACGCGATCGATAATTTGGACTGCGTTGTTTGGATTTTACCTCTACGCATGTCTATCTTTGCGGCCTTCATGTGTTCTGCACACAGATCCAGGTCACGGCTGCATGCTATTACTAATTGCTGAGAAATCAAGTCTTTCAAGACTCGAGACTTGGATCGGCTTTAGCATCGATTGAATCTGTGTGGGTCTAGTTTCCGCAGAATTTGAGATAACTCTTGGGCTGATGAAGAGGGATTCAAAGGATTTTTTCTTATTTTTTTATTGTTTAAATCGGTGACGGGACGAGAACCAAATTGACATTTCGATGGCCGCCTTGGAGGCAATTTGAGGATTTGTAGCACAAGTGCACGGTGAAGAGTAGTGCTGATTTATTTGTGAGCTGGTGTGCTGCGTGACTGTGAAAGTACGGAAGGAGGTTCGAGCATTTTAGTTGTTGGCACATTTTCGTGCAGGGTTTCGTTCTGTGGTTCACGCGATCGAGCTTGATGGATGGTTTTTAGTGCGGTTTTGCATCTCGAGCGTATTCAAGCGCAAAATTAGTGGGGTTTCAAATGCGCCTTAGTTTATCACAGTACTTTGCGTCGTTACGTGCCCGATGTGATGGCTGATTATCAGCCCTGTTCGGTTTGAATTGTTCTGTTGGATTCATACAAAGATAGTGGCTGCTCAATTCTCGAAACGCTTCAAGGCGCCACTAAGTCATAGGTTCATTTCATTTATTAGTATATTACTTGCGTGGTTGTGAAAAGGGTGAGGTTGCACAGCCACCGTTGTGTGCTAGATGCTGGAGGAATATTTCATCTAACGCGGTTTTCCGCGTATGAGTTTTTAAGTTTGTTCTAATCTAGAATTTCCATGCAGTGAAGACAGTGTTACTTGATAGGGCAGTTTTTTTGGTGTAGTACTGGATATGTCAATTGTGACATGCTTGTCTGGAGTTGTAACTCCTTCAATGTTCCTTAGTTTTAAGCATGTTTCGTTTTCACTTCTTGCAGTTGATATTCTTTGGAGGTCGCAAGTCACCATGGCCTCCATGGTCGCTCAAGCAGCTCAGGTGAACGTGCTGAGGGAGAGCAGTCTGAGTTCATCGCATGCTCCAGTAACAAATAAGAAGGCGATGAGAGCATGTATGGCTCCATCTTTCTCCTCTGTCTCTTCTACTTTCTATTCCTCTAAACGGCTGCGAAGCACCAGTTCTGTGCCTAGGCCTGCTACAAAAAGAACCACAATCAAATCTGCTTTGGATGTCTCCAAAGCTGCCAATGAAGCAACGGAAAATTTGAAGAAGGCTTCCGAAGTTTCCAAGGAAATTATGAAAGAGGCTGCAGAAGGAACAGTAGAGTCTGTGAAAGAGGTTACAAATCGCGCACTTACGCGAAAACTGTCGCGAAAGCGCAGCTTTCACTTGCCTCGCGGTGGCAACATCAAGGCAGATCCGCTTCGAATTGTCATGTTTCAGGTTCTAAGTCTCACCATGAGCTTAAATGGGTTCCTCATGTTTGCTTCGTGTTCTTGCTGTTTCTTTTGTACGTACTAAATAGTCTTGCCACCAATTGAGTGGAGTCCTGATGAACAAGATAAAGTGGAGCGAATTGTAAAGGGATATGGTTCAATTTAAATATTAAACATATGTTTTGAATATTGATTTCCGAAACAATTTTTTTCTAGTTTGATAGCTTTGCGGTTAAAGCTACCTTTTACCACTGTAGCCAGTATCAAACTTTCAAACTCTTCGAACCTAAAGTATGCATTGTAGCTTTTGTTGAAACACACTGGACGGGAAAGGCCACTGAAAAGGCATTTTGTGTTTCCTGTAAACCTCGTGTGCTATGCTATTAGGCGTTGACATGACTTAGTTTGAACTCTTTTTTTTATTCGCGAGAAGTGACCGTGGTGACAGTCTTCATAACTTGGGACTCGTGCGTGTCTCGTTTCTATATTGCGTCATTTAACTTTTGAACGCGGGCAGTAAATGATTGTCATGGTTGGCTAGGGATTTAACTGGGAATCATGGAAGAGCCCCAGCTGGTACGATATCATCGGTAACAGAGCGGAAGAATTGGCTGCAGCAGGCATTACTGATGTTTGGTTTCCTCCCCCCAGCCATTCTGTGGCTCCTCAAGGTGTGTAAATTTCCAGACTGTGCACGTAAATCATTTTCCTCGAAAAGTTAAAATTATGAATTGTTCGAAGTAAGACGAAATACTCTGAATTTTCATTCAGAACTAGATGAGGACTAATGGGTTTCAGGTGTTCCTATGCATGAGGTTTTCCCTCTTAAGTATGAAGACCTCAGGAGTCCACTTTTATGATGCATTTACTGATAGGACTTTATGGATACGCCGTTTTGCAGGATATATGCCAGGTAGGCTATACGATTTGAGCGCATCCAAGTACGGGAATGAGGAGAAGCTCTTTGAAACGATTAACAAATTTCACAAAGCAGGAGTGCGGTGCATTGCTGACATTGTTGTGAACCATAGATGCGGTGATGCTCAAGACGAGAGAGGGGAATGGGTCATTTTTGAAGGAGGCACTCCTGATGATGCTCTCGACTGGGGTCCTTGGGCTGTAGTTGGAGATGATTACCCATACGGAAATGGAACCGGTAAGCACTGTTCGTGTATGGAATAAAAATTCCATGAAACATAGTCTGCTGTACCTTAAGCATTGTGGTTCTGTGACGTATCACATTAATAAAAAAAATCTGTAACATGAATGTGCTGGCAGGTGCTCCAGACACCGGTGCTGACTTCGAGGCTGCACCTGACATTGACCACACTAATGAACGAGTTCAAAGCGACATTATCAACTGGATGAACTGGATGAAATACAAAATTGGGTTTGATGGGTGGAGATTCGACTTCGCAAAGGGTTATGGAGGATACTTCGTTGGTAAATATATTGAGAAGACTGAACCAGGGTTCGCAGTTGGGGAGTTGTGGACCAACATGTGTTATGGATATGGTGGTTTGGATTATAACCAAGATGGTCATAGGCAGCAATTGGTTGACTGGGTTCATTCAACTCACAATAGGTCTACTGCATTCGATTTCACCACAAAGGGCATTTTGCAAGAGGCTGTTAAAGGTCAGTTATGGCGACTGCGAGATCGGAATAGCAAACCACCGGGGATGATTGGGTATTGGCCCGAAAAGGCAGTGACATTTCTTGATAACCACGATACTGGATCCACACAGAACCACTGGCCTTTCCCGAGTGAACATATCATGCAAGGCTACGCTTACATACTTACCCATTCTGGCAACCCCTGCATTGTGAGTTTTCGACTTCGCTTTTCAGTGAGTTGTGCCTTGTTTCCACCGTCACATTGGTTACATAGATCATGTTTTGGCCTGCTGAAATAACACTGTGTTCATTTTTCTTGATCAGTTCTACGATCATTTTTACGACTGGGGTTTGAAGGACGAAATTACAAGGTTGATCGAGTTGCGCAAGCGGAACGACATTAATGCAAGGAGCAAAGTCCACATCGTGACTGCTGAGAACGATTTGTACGTTGCGAAGATCGATGACTGTGTCATACTCAAGATTGGTCCTCGGTATGACATGGGCCATCTGACTCCAAACTCTGGGGATTATAAAATCGGGGCAGTGGGAAAGGATTATTGCGTGTGGGAGAAGAAAAACTAGAGTCTCCTTGTAAAAGAAATAGACAATTTTTATCATATAGCACATTTATAAATTCTCAAATAGCGCTATCGTTGCTAATTATAGCTGATTAGAGAAGCCATTTTTTTGCTTCGTATCAATGGTATACTCAGCAAAGGCTTCAGACGCAGGTGTGACGTTTAATTGTCAAAGTCTAGACATTTGATGACGCATCTGGTCCTCACCGCCTGCTTCAGGAGTTATCGTCAGCTGTGTCATCAATCTTCAGTTACAGTGGATTTACATAACTGTCTCATTGGTTGTACATATTTTGTTTTCTGGTAGTACATACCCTATATTTCTGGCAGTATAGTCTCGAAAGGTTGTAAATGCCTACTTGCTTCGGCAGGTTTTACCAGGGTGTTGGCTGTCATACTCAATTTTTTCCCTTTTCAGTGTAAAGAAGCGTGAAGCAAACCTTCCATAATTCTTTTTTATGTTGATGCTTGTCACAGTACACATGGTAACGTGACTATCTCTATTCACAAGTTTTAATGAGATGGTGGGCTCTACTCAATGGGCACGATAATCTGTATCATGATGATATCCGCATTATCTGATGGGAAGCCTCACGCAAAAACTCCAGACTTCCATTCTGTGACCGAAATTGTTCTCAGGTGTGTTGTCATTTGTTTCTTCAGTAAAATTACCTGAAGTGTCCGAGTTGGAAATGGTTAGATCCCATGTGCAAATGCGACAGCAGCGTCGCTGTCGATAATGGCAACTCTCGACTATTTACCACTATTCTGACAGGTTTTCAATTCATGTGAGACAGGAGTTTGCGTTGTCTTGCTTAACTTGCGATTCTTTTGGCCTTCGCTGCTGCAGCTTCAGCTGTCCCTTATCCACCGTTGGTCAAAAATACAAACATAACCAGAAAGTGCATGTGTTAGAAAGTGCATGTGTTTCGTTACAAGTTTATCGAAACACCTCAATATTGTCATCCAGTGTTTCACACACTATCAATGTCGTCTGGTTCAAATCCCCTTTGTACCTTTAAAGAAGCATTACCTTGTACACCCAAACCTTAGCTCAATTTCTACAATGTCTTTTTAAATGTGATTGTGACAAATGACAACAATAATAGTTAGGATTTTAATGATTTGGCATTTTGTTTTTAGAGCTATGGTGCAACAACTACAAATCTAGAGATGCAAAATTGCTAGATGGTGCTTGAACATGGGTGGATTGGATATTAGCAAACAAAAAGGACACACCCATTGTGAAAACATGTGAAGAATAAGATTCAATTGAGAAGTTTTTTAAATCTTAATTTGTCTTTCTATGATTATTTCTTCTCCTTGTTTCTATTACATATGTAGTATGAAGTATATCATAGTTTAGAATTGACACAATCTCAACCCAAAAATAGGACCATGGTGACTACTGCAGCACTTGTAAAATCACCACCTTAGAAAAACATATCTTGGGCCATCTGTGCTAAACCTTGCCCTTTCAATCCCAAATTGTATTTGTCTATTTCAATAGACACTCTAGCTAACATAAACAAGGGTATTCAAGCCTTATCTATAGGAAAAGTAGTATGGATGGACAAATAGGAGAATTATCTTAAGAAATTCTCTACTTCGAAAATCTGTATCTTAATTTCTAATATGAAATCTATTCCATCCTTGATTTTACTCTCCATCTCTATGATTATAAAAGAGGTAGAAATAACTTTAGTATATGAAAGAATTTTGCAACAATAAAGCCATTGTCTTGAGCTTGAACATGATACAACAAAATATCCACTTAAGAGGGGAAAACAAAAAGAAAAAAACCAAAACCAAAACCAAAAATACTAGAAAACTTCAAGTAGAGAAAAGCCAGCAGAACCTTCAATTAGAACCACAATCAATTCAAACAAATTAATACCAACAAAATGAGTCACAATCAACTCAATCACTTGAAGGTAAGGTCACAAATATAATGGATATTCTTACTCTTTATGTTGGCAACCTTACTTGTTCCAATTCAAAAATTATACTAGTATCTTCCTTAGAGGATCTTAGTTCTTAGCTCATAGTAAACAAGAATAGAAAATCAATTAAGCAATAACATTCAATTGTAATAATTATTGGCCCCTTCTCTTGTAAGAAATGTCTACTAACATCTAGTATCAATAAAGAGCCTATTTAAACTACACTCAATTTTTCTAATACATCATGAAATGGAAAAATAAAATGATAGAAATTTGGCCACTTATCTAACTTGCAGTGAAGTATATACACAAGCAATATTTAAGCCTGATCTACAAAGAGTTGCAAGGTATTTGCATTACCTCTCCACAAATACACCACAAACCTATAAAAGAATATATCCAACCTCTTGAGAATAATTATAAATAATATTATTTATTAATCTTGGCCTCAATAATAAATATATCACATTATGTTAGTATGAATTGATTTAGTAGATTGATGAATTACAACAAATGCTTAACAATACCTCACTTTGCCATGTACTTGTTGTGATCAAATTACCGATTTATGATAACTCTTTCTCTTTTAACAAGGCTACTTATCAATAGATAGAAGCCATACATTTGAAAATATAGATATATCTAAATTAGAACATGGCCATAAAGAAAAAATATTCTTCTTAAATATTGGCACAAATATAGAAGCTTCTACTTGAAGCTTCTAAAGGGGCTCAATCAGCAATATCATTAATGAGGTAATCCAAATCCACCTTCAAGCAAATCAACTACTAACTATGACTTTTATAATTGACCAATCATGAAAAAATAAGTAATAAGTGAAGGCCAATTGTTAGACCATAATACACCAATGAATATCTTAAATATTAATAATATAATATAATACCTAAGAATTTCCAATGATATACTAATTTTTTGCCAAGTATATTATCCAACAATTATTGATTCTTTGGAGGCTCGACTATTACAACTAGAAAGCTCACCGCATATGCACATATTACCTACTACATATCCACCATTGCCAACTATTCTACAATCATCATAAGTTTTTGCCTTACTTTAGATTAATCAAATTATCCAAGCAGCACCTCAATAAACCATATAAAGTGTCCTTGTCCACAAAGTTGGAGAACTCATAACTTGGATAATATGCAAGATCCTTCATATTTGCTAAAGTAACTAGAAATTACTCAATGTTGCTATAATCAGACAAGTAGCTTCCTAATTCACCCTAAAAGACACTTTTGTTGAAGCACTACTGTTTAAAATCAATCATTTATTAATCACTAAAATAATGGTTGAGGGCAATCAACACACAATCGTAATCCATCTTCTACCCATATGTATTGGCTTCATAATGAAATGAAAGAACAACCTAAAATTTTATGTGTCCAATTTTATCTTATAGAATAATTTGTTGTTTCTTTCCTAAGCAACAATCAAACTTCTACTTACTTCTACATATGTCTAAGATCTAAGTTAACATTGTAACTTTAGATATGCAAGGCCTCTCAAGTCTTACAGCTGAGAAAGTAAAACAAAGTAGATTTAGAGCACACTTATGTATGATTAATTCAAAATTGGATATAATATTCTTTTAGGAATATAAGATGACTCAACTAGATTGTGATAAATTAGGTTTCTTTGGATTATAAAGATGAAAACAGTTCTAAAATAGAGCCACATCAAATCCAAAGTTGGGACAAAATTATGGAGGTATAATCATTTTATTAAGTACTTTTATACATCATTTAGTTATGGATTATAGAATACTTATCTTTAGATAAGTACAATAAGTAATATGTAAAGTAGACCACATGAAAATTGGATTCTTAAGCTTATATATCTTGAATAAAAAAAGAAATTGGACCTTGTTTTGAAAAGCTATTAGCTTTGGCATACTAGAAGCAACATCATGGATGGTAGACAAAGATTATAACATGGTTTAAAATAATTATAATTAAAGTGGAAACATAGAGAAATAATTCAATAAAAAAAATAAAAAATACATGGAATAATTTTATATTTTGATTTAGACTTAAAGATAGATGGCTATCAGACAATTTCAATTTCTTTGATTCTATTCTTTTATCTTGATTCAATAAAAAAATTATGCAAGTCTATTCATTAATATGTCTAGAGCAATTTTATATAGAGAAGTGGATAAGATATCAAGGCGGCATGGTCTACATCCTACAATATTATAAATTTTCCTTTAACTACCTCTTTATATTGCTCACTTTACAATAATAAAACTAAAACAAGAAGAAGACCGCTAATTTTGATTTAATACTTATTTTTTGAAAATCCCTTCTATAATAGCCTAGCTAGCAGCAATGTGGTTGCAAGACTTATGTCTTTTTTTAGTTCCAAACTACTCTTTATAGATTGTTGTTGCTTTGGTAAGGATAAAATCCTTCTACTAAGAATTAAGTGTCTTTAAGGCACAAGATTGTTAAAACTACATTACTCAAGTAAAAGTAATATTGGCCTCAATTAAATAGCTCTTACAAGCCAATCCTAATGACTTCTTCTTCCACAAAGCCCTTGTAGTGGTTACATAAGAATAAATAGAACAAAAAACTTAATCAACAAAATAGGCAACAATCAAATCCTTATTGCGGTGATTCCAAATAGACAACTATATGTACTAAGAGTTTTTTCTAGACCTCAAAGAAATATACTCAATCCTACTAATACAACTTTTATAATATTCAAATGGCTAAGAATTCTCCACCAACATCAAGATGGCTATCTATATAATCTAATATTATCAAGAATTCTTTTTGATAAAAAATACATCTTCTAAGTGTGAGAGGTAATAGCAATTATGCTAAAGCAAGCTTTTGTAGTAGATTACATGAAAAATGAGTCATCAGCCTAGGAAGACTTTTACTAAAAAAGAAATATTTGACACATTCAAATAATTATTGGTAGAACAAGTTCCAAACATCAATGGATTCATAGCTGATTTTTTTTCAAGCTCTAAGATATTCTTAGCAAAAACCTCCTTGAGATCTATCAAGAAGCTTTACATTTAGATATCTAATGTCATTCTTTGAATATTGGTTTATTTTGCTTAATTCCTAAAGAAAGATGTAAGATCATTTTAAAAAATTAGAATCTAATTATACTTTTAAGAATAATTTATAAAATCCAAGCCAAGTATATGGTTAAGCAAGTGTAGCCTATGTTAAATAAAATAATTTGTTTCAACCAATCCATATTTTTCAAAGGCAAAATTATAATTGATAATGTCTTTTTAGCCTTTGAAACTATAAATTGGACGATAGAATCTCAATAGCCCTTAGTAATGCTTTTATTGGATTTAAAAAAAACTTATGGTAGTATGGAATGAAGCTTTTTAAAAGAATCTATAATAGTATTAGGATTTGAAGAGCAGTAGATACATTTGTTTAAACTATTCTATGTAGATTTTTAGTATTTATAAGATTAAATAAACTTATTAGTAAATATTATAAATTAAC